AGCCAACAGGAATCTGGACTGGGGTGTATCTCAGCAGTGAAGTGCTTCCTAGGGTGTAGGATGCCCCGGGTCTCACCCTCACCTTGTAAGAAAAAAAAATGAATAGTAGCAATAAGGAGTCCAGACATTTAATTTCAAGATAGACCCTGAGCTTGGTGGACTGAGGAATGCCCTGAACTCCTGTGCATATGGGTGTGTGTTTCCTGGGAGAGGATTTACAGCTTTCCACATGTCTTCAAGGTGCCTGGGCTCCCTAAAGTTTAGGAATGCACACTTAGTACTATCGTCTTGTCAGTCAAGTCTCAGAGTTCTGTTTAAACATTAAATACCCATTTTAAACACAGTTGCACAAGCGCACAGTTTTAAGAGTCAAAAGTTCTTCAAAGTTTAAAACAAAAACATAGTAGTCAACCCTACCCTTGTCCACCCCAGCGCTTATCCCTAGGGATCATCACTTTGAATGTTTTAGTAGAGAAGAGGAGGGAGAGAGAGGGGGGAAGAGAGAGGAGAAGGGGAGAGCTGGGAGAGGAGAGGGAGGAGAGAAGCAGGAAGTGGGAGCAGGGAGAGACAGGGAGAGCATGTGAGATTGGGACTGTGGAAGGAGAGGATTGGGGTCACCCCCTCTGCTCCCAACCCCTGATGCCTACTTCTTTGCCCTCCATCCTCCTAAGTATAGTCTTGTGTTTTGATTCTTTGTTTGGAGTGATGGAGGTGATAGAAACATCTTTCCTCTGATACTCTGTCTTAGTGTCCAAAGCATCCGAGGCCCTTGGCATTCCTAGAGCCATAGGATTGCATAACAGTGAGATGACTGGAGGTTTCAGGCTCAGGGCTGGCTGCCAGGATCTTCAAGGCAGGATGAGGGTGGAGAATCTCAGCCCCACCTCCCAGCCTCTGGGGAGCACGGGGCTAGAGGCTGAGCTAATCAGCAATGGCCAGCATTGTAACCAGTCAGTTTCCATGATGGAACCTCTGCAGGAGCCCTTGAAGCACTGTGTATTCCTTTTTAGGAATATTTTCCCAACTTTCTCTCTAGAACTCTGTATGAAAATTTTATCATTATGTTTTAAATTTCAAGCACTCCTATAGTCCTTGAGGGGGAAGATATGTAGTACATGTGTATACATACACGCAGAGGCACATGCACAGGCACAAGCACACATGCCAATCTGGTTTCAAAGATTTAGTTAGATTCCTTAAGAGCTATTTTATTTTCTAATTTGCATGCAAAATATCTGCATTTTTAGATTTTTATGTGTCAGCCTTAGTATGGTCAGCTCCTTAGTGCAGCTCCTTTTGTGACCTCTGCTGTTGGAACAAAGGACTCTGTGAAGTCTGTGACTTGGAAGGGTTCTTCCTGATGTGTATGTAGACTGGGGTACAGTGATGCTGGAGACAGAGCAGTGTTCTGTGGGGCTGGAGGGATGGCTCAGTGGGTAGGAGCATTTGCTGCTCTTGCAGAGGATGGAGTCCAGTTTCCAGCACAAACATGGTGGATCACAACCATCTGTAACTCTACTTCTAGGGGACCCAATAGCCTCTTCTGGCCCCTGCCAGTACCGGGCACAAAATGATGCACAGACAAACAATGCAGGCAGTTTTAGTACTTTTCTATTGCTGTGATAAAGTGCCATGAACAAGGCAACCTATAGAGCAGTGGATCTCAACCATCCGAAAGCTGCAACCCTTTAACACAGTCCCTCATGTTGTGGTGACTCCCAGTCATAAAGTTATTTTCATTCCTACTTCATAGCTGTAACTTTGTCACTGTTGTGAATTGTGATGTGTATATCTGATAGGCAGGTATATGACCCCAGAGAAAAGGCCATTCAACCCAAAGGGGTCACAACCCACAGGTTGAGAACCAGTGTTATAGAAGAAAGAGTTTGTTTGAGCTTAAGGTTCCAGAGAGACTAGACACCATTCTAGTAGAAAAGCATGACAGTCAGTGGCAGACGTGGCGGCTGGAGCACTCAACTGCAAGTGAGAAGTAGAGTGTGATCAGGAAGGAGCATAAGGCTTTAGAAACCAAAGCCCACCTTCTGTAACATACTTCCTCCAGTAAGGCTGTTTAACTCAGTACTCCCAAACAGTGCTACTAACTGTGGCTCAAGTGTTCAAATGCCCACGTCTATTGCAGGGGACATTTCTCATTCAAGTTACTACAAGGCAAAATGCTCATACACATAAAATAAAAATAAAATAATTAGAAAAGAACACTCTGACACAATGGGATTGTGAGAAGGCAACTATGTGGCTGATAGTGATGCTGTTTTATGACTAACTTCCTTTTTTGTTTGACTCAGAGTCTTGTAGAGCCTAGGTTGGCCTCTAACTCATTATGCAGCACAAGCTGGCCTTATTCCTGATATTCCTGTCTCCATCTCCAAAGTGGAGGTGTAGTGGGTGTGCACCACGTTGCCAGGCTGACTTTCATTTACCTCTGATTCCAACTCTTCATATCGTAGACATTTATCATAGACTGGCTGTTATATGTCATCAGATAATAAAAGGATCAGCTTATTATTTACTTACAGGTGCATTATTGCTTTTTTTACTCCTTTTGTTGCTATTTTAGGAATTATTGAAAGGCAGGGACTGGACTTTGTGTCCTCCCCCATGCTAATGATAAATCCCTAACACCAGTGTGATGGAATCAAGGGCTAGATGAGGTGGGGAGGAATTTCTGATGAAGTCATTTCCCTGACAAGAGACACAAGAGAGCTTTCTTTGCCTCCATCCTTGAGAAAGGTGGCTGTCTGCAGGGCAGAAAGAGCGGCCTCTCCAGGAGCCAGATCTTGGACATCCCGACTTCCAGACGCTGAGAAATATGTTTCTGTTGTTCAGCCACCCAGGGTGTGAGATTTTGTTATGGCAGCTGGCAGACAGATATAGATAGGGTTGTAGAACATTGATAGTGCCCTAAAAATAGATACAGCTTTACATTCTTTTGTCTATAAAGATGGACAAGGAATAGGAAACAGGCCGTCACACATACTGAGAATAAAATAGAACCTGATAATTCCTGATGATTCCCTTCCTTCTATAAGCCAGGCTCCCTGCATCAGACAGCTTCCTGTTTTTTCTTTTCCCATTGATGACCTACATGGTGTGTGTGTGTGTGTGTGTGTGTGTGTGTGTGTGTGTGTGTGTGTGTGTGTGTAGCATCCCTCAGTCTTTTCCACTGTTACGGTGCAGGGTAAAGTCACAAGCCTCTTTCAAGGCTCATAATCTGGGTGCAGACTCCAAGTTAGCATTCAGCCTCTTAGTCGCCATCATCAACTCATAATCAAGTCAGTAGCTTCAACCTTTTCCTAAAGCACTTAGTGGCTTGTGCTTTTCTGTGTCCCTGCCCTGTCATGTGCTGCTTCTGTCGTCTCATTCTTTACCACCATTCACACCTCCAACAGCTGTCTTTCAGCATTGATCTGTGATGTCCCAGTCACAGCTGCCTCTGAGGGCATCCTTCAACTGTGCCTCTTTTGACAGCACTTACCCCTGAGCTTGACTAGTGCAGTGCTTCAGCCTATTAGGCAGTATTAGATTTCGTAGTTATAATAAGGCAGTGACTCTTGTGTCACATACCCTGACTCTAAGCAATGCAGCACCATTCTCAAGGCTTTTTCTTGGCTGCTCTGGAACCCTTGCAGCTTCCTTTTGAATGCATCCAGGAGGCTGTGTTCAGCTGAGCATCCATGGAAGTGTGGTCACTCATAGTGTTACTGTAGAGTTGTGCTGTCTCCCTGGACCATTCCTGGAAAGGTCATTCCCAGTCTTCTGTAATAACAAGCTGTGCTGTGTTGCTCCTAGTTCTCTTGGATTTTCATGTCTGTGGGTTGAATTCCTAGAGGTGGGATAAAAAATGCACACATGAATTTTGATTGGCATAGATGATTCCCTTTATCAGGTTCTATTTTATTCTCAGTATGTGTGTGATGGCCTGTTTCCTATTCCTTGACCAAATGTTTTATTCTTTGTCATGTTATAGGTGGAAAGATTAGATGATACAATAATTTACTGGGTCTCATAGTATGTGTTAGACTAGGGCCTGAGTTTATCCGATAATTTCAGAATTTGTTCACCTCATGAATGCTGCTGTGAAACTGAAGTATTGCCCTGATGGGTCAATAACCGTTGAGTATATTTCCTTTTAGATTTTTCCACTTGTGTATTCAGTGTGTGTGTATTCATGGATTTGTGTGTGTGTGTGTGTGTGTGTGTGTGTGTGTGTGTGCTGTTACCTGGCTCTTTACATTGTTGCTGGAGATGGAATTGTGTCCATCTGCTTTCGTGGCAAGCATGCTGAATGAGTTGTTTCTTGTCTTCTTTTCCAGAGTGCAAACATTTTTTTTCTGAGAGGGAATTTCAGATTTAGAGAATATTATTTTTCTGAAAATGCACTTCTGAGACACCTGTCGGTGCAGGGGAACAAAGTGCCTGGGGCTCCCCAGGTCTGAGAAGTCTTTCTGAAATATTAGGATTTACCTTGACTGTGCTAGTGACCACTGCTTGCCCTGCAGGCTTTATGAGGCAGTCCCTGTAGGAAATGCATGACATCAGTTTTTGCCACTGAGTATTATGGCAGCTGTAGCTTTTGTGCTGTGGTTTCTTGGGGGAAATTGTCTGCAGCTCTCCTATCCAAACCGCATTGCTCACATTGAGGTGCTGCTGACTTTTGCACACTGTCAAGGAGGTGGTCCAGGTGGATGAAGCTGGTGGTGAGGAGGTCCTGCCATGATAGGATAGGTGATTGCTGATCAAGAAATTAAGGATGGGTGTTGTGAAGGCTGTTGTCCCTCACGCCCCCCCTCTCCTCCCAAACCATCTCTTCCTATGCTTTAAAAATTCTTTTTTATTAAATTAGAAACCCAACAACCATTTGGCCATTCTGTATGCTCTTCTCTGCTGATTATCTGAGCAGAGAGTGAGGGAGCTCCTGTGCGGCTCCAATGAAGACATTGACGGCTATAGTCATCCTGCCTTGTTGTTCTCCCTGCCAGGCTCCTAGTCCACCTGAGGCAAGGGACGTTTATCCTGATAGCAATGAGGCAGCGTGCTCTTGTGGTTAAAGGAACTTCGCAGCCCCATGGCCAGCAAGTGACACAGTAGACCAATCACAGAAAGGTGGAATCTCATGGATCCTGGCCCCAAACGGACTCTTTCTGAAAAATAGTAAGTGCTGTGTGAAGTTGGGTCAAAGGTGCCGGTGGAAAGGAAAGTGGGGTAGTCCTCCAAAGGCATGTTGCCAGTCTCTTACAAAGCCAAACTGGGAGTTGTGTGAATGGGCGTTTGCACTCAAGGGCATTTGTCCCAGAGAAAAGAAGATATGGTCACTCAAAACCTGTGTGTACATAGTAGTTTTATTCTGGAACATCAGGATGTCATTCAAGGGCAATGACAAGACGAGACAACTGTGGTCCATGTGTGTGGGGAATGGGAGATGAGTTGAGTTCTCCTGTCTTTCAAACCTCTGTCATTCTTCTTTTTAAAGGTGGTTTAGTTTTAATTGTGCATGTGTGTGTGCATGTGCATACATGTGAGCATGAGTGTGAATGTGAGTGTAGGTGTTGTCTGAGGAGGCCAGAGCTGTCAGATCCCTTGGAGCTGGAGTTAGAGGTGGTTATGAGCTACCTGACATGGGCGCTGGGAACTGAACCCAGGCCCGCTGTAAGAACAGTATGTGCTTTTCACCTCTCCATCTCTCCAGAGCCGTTTTGTTCTCTTCTCCCCTCTTCATGTCTGTGTTTGATTGGATTTCATGTTACGTTTCCTCACATACAGCTTTTTAGGGATGGATGCGTGTGGCTGTGACTGCTGACTGCACTGTTTTTCTGCCCTCAGTAAAGACGTCTCATGCCCCTCTCCCCTCTGCCTTAGAACGATCTGTCCAGGACACAAATGAAGGTACATTGGAAAGTGGCCTGTGCACTTTCCCAAATACAGTTGGTGATTTATAAATTGCCTTCTGTGAGGAAGACATGTGAGAGATTTCTGTTTGCAGTTTTAAGGTCAGGGAAGACTCCCAGCCCCACAGGGATTGCGTGGCACATTGGCCAAAGTATTGGTTCCAGAGTCAAAAGATCTTTATGTCTTGCTTCTAACAAGAGGGGTATTGGAAAACTTGCTGAATTTTTGTGAATTTGGTGTTCTTATCTTTTTAAGCTTTTTTATCTTTAACTATGTGTGGGAGCATTGCATATGAATGCAATGCCTTCAGAGGTAAGAAGAGGGTGTTGGGTCCCAAACAATTGTGAGGCATCACAAGTGGGAACTGAACTTGGGTTTTCTACAAGAGTGGGAAGTGCTCGTAACTGCTGAACCATTTCTCACCCCTCTTGGTTTGATTCTCAATGAAACTGGAGCTAATGAAGCGGCGTGTCTCTCGAGGTCACAGGGAGAGCCGGTGAGACACACAGTGATGTGGCTCTGAAGCCTGTAAGGCACCACATCTCTGGGGAATACAGCTGTGTAAACAGCTTCTCTGGGATTTGAAGAAAGCACATCTGTAATATGCCTGAAGACCTGAAAGGTATGGCATGGTCATGCTTGTGACCCCCTGGGCGAGGTCCAGCCTGAGACAGCCCACTTAGGTCTTCATGGCAAGCTGCAGTAACCTAAGACACCTGCCCCACAGTGTAGCTGTGGGGAGGAGGCACACGCTCCTGCCTGCGTGTGGTGGGGTGTCTCCAGTGGGGAGGAACGCACATCGTGTCTGGCAGGAAAAAAACCCTCTCATCTCTCTGCTCTCCAGGCAGTCTGCACTCCTAGGAAGGAGGACAGAAGAGAGGAGTCCATTTCTGGTAACCTGCAAAAGCCTTTCCCAGCCAGTCTGCTCACAGAGTGACCTGCATGACAAGTAGAAGACTGTGAGAGGCAGATGGATCCTGTCAGCTCAGTGCTTTATGGCTTTTGTGGCCTCAGAGCAGTCAGTGGCAGGGCTGCCAGCTTGCTAGCTTTCTGGGGAATTCTGGGTCAGCCAAGAGGCTGAGACAATGAAAGGAACACAGGTGTCAGGGGGTGGGGTGGGGTGGCATCCAAAGGGACACCAAAGCCCTCTATTCTTACATTAATACATGTTTTAGCCTACTCTGGTCTCATCCATTACATTCCTAACAGCAAAGGGCCTCTAGAAAGATTAGTGATGCAGGACAAGTCACAAGGTTTGCAAGAAATGATGCTTGAATTGCTATTTGTGGAGCACGTGAAGGTGTGAAACACCTTAAATGTTCCCTCATCTGGTGTGTGTGTGTGTGTGTGTGTGTGTGTGTGTGTGTGTGTGTGTGTGTGTGTGTGTCCACTGCCCTTCCCATCTCCTAAGAACAGAGAAAGTGACTCTTCACTCACTTTCTTGGTCTGTGGCTGGAATTCTTTCATTAGCCTCTCTCCTGAGGTAGATTCTGCAGCTACAGTGCCATCACCTTTTCTGTTTTGTGCCTGTCCCGGGGCTCAGGTCAGAGCCAGTAGTGGCAGTGAGGGAGTAGACCAGCAGAGCTGTCTCGTTTTGTTCTGCTCTGTCCTCCTTTCCCCCCTTTTTTAGGATGGTAGATCTGAGCTGCTGATGTGCTTTGGGGTGTGTGTGCACAGTTGCACTTTCCCTGTGGTTCAGACATGAATTTCCTCTCAGAATTCCCCGGGTTCAGTTAGTCCCCAGGCTTCTGACAGGGAGCAACAGGAAGTATTTTGTGTAGAGGTCTATGCCCAAATCTCTCTTCACCTGCGAGTTTATTTGGTTTGAGTGAAATAAATCAGAGATCCTGGTTTCTTTATCCCAAAGAAGAAAGCAAAGGGTCACAGGTTGTCAAGGGGTAGAGGCTGCCTTGTCTGAGCTGTTCTCTAGTGTTCAGAATCTCAATGAGTATGTTGAGCTGGGCCAAGTGTGTGAATGCCTGGGACTAGCAACCCCGGCTGCCTCTGGGGGTCTCTGAGAAACACACACTTGCTTATAAAGCAGGCCAACTGAGGTAGAGTCTGTGGGTGGGGAGTGTAGGGAGCTATTGCTTTGAGAGTCTCTTAAATGGTTCCAGTGTACAGCAAGAGGGACCTTGGTCTGAGGTGAACTGGTATCGCAGGTAGAGGCAGTCCTGCTGCCTTTCCCCAGCTGTGCCTTGCTTCAAGTGATGTCAGCATCATGCAGACACCATGGGGACAGCTTGCCACGCCATTCTTCTGGAATCTTCCATGAGCACACTCACTGACCTTCACTCTGTTCTGACGCCTCTCCCCCTCTCTCCATGGAGGAGGAAAGTTGATGTTAATTTTGCAAGACCACCATACATCCATTTCAGTGTGTGGGATAGCCTTGAGTATGAAGTACTCAGCAGGTATTTACTGGGTTCTTGTCCCCCCAGCACTGTGAGGGATGGTTCGTAAACAACAGTACTTCCTTAGCAAGGGTTGGTCTTCAGCCTCCCCAAAAGCCATTTAATTTTAGGTGAGTGCAAAAACTTGTCTGCATCTAATTGGCTTCATCTATGAAGTGGATAATGGGCTGTTGCTGTCCAGAAGGATTGTCTGAGGTTTCCATGCATATGTGTAAACCACTCAACTCAGTGCCAGCCCTGGAAGCATTCTGTGAAGCTGCCGTGGCCCCACCACCCTCATCATCCTTGTCATTTTCCAACATAAATATTGCAAATTTTAGTTTTCTTTCTGTTGCCGTGATAAACACCACAAACAAAAACAACCTGAGGGCTTGTTTGGCTTACACTTCCAGATTGAAATCTATCACTGAGGGAAGTCATGTAGGAACCTAGAACAGAAAGTGTGGAGGAATGCTGCTCACTAGCTTGCTCACTGTCTCTGGATTAGCTAGCTTTCTTACACAGCCCAGACCCACCTGCCTAGGGAAGGTGCTACCCATAGTGTTCTGGGGCCTCCCATATCTATCATAAATCAAGACAGCCTCTCATACAAGCAGCAATAAACTAATTGGATTGAGGCAATCAAATGAGGGTCCTTCCTCTTAGGTGATTCTAGATTGTGTTAAGTTGGCAATAAAACCAAACAAAGGAAATAAACTTGTCAAAGATAACTCATCCTTAGGTCTTGAACTATGGGTATTTTTATTTTAAATTTTAACTGGTAGCATTACTTTACTACTAAAATATTGTGCCCTGGGATACTTGAGTTTTAAACATACAAGTTAAAACCAAATACATTATATCTAAAGGATTTTTATAATTGGACCATTGCTACTAAAAGCTGATTTTTAATCTTCATGATGTTTGGTTCATTGCTTTGCTTTCTTCTCCTTAACTATATGCTGTGAGTTCTTTGACCATTGTCTTAGTCAACATTCTTTTGCTGTGAAGAGACAGCATGACCATGGCAAGTCTTTTTTGGGGGTGTGTGTTAAGACAGGGTTTCTCTGTGTAGCTTTGGAGCCTGTCCTGGAACTTGTTCTGTAGATCAGACCAGTCTCAGACTCAGAAATCTTCCTGTCTCTGCCTCCTGAGTGCTGGCATTAAAGGCATGTGCCACCACTGCCTGACAGCTCTTATAAAGGGAAACATTTGATTGAGGCTTGTTTACAGTTTCAGTGGTTTATTCCATTATCGTCATAGTGGGGAGTATGGCGGCACACAGGCAGACATGGTGCTGGAGAGGTAGCTGAGAGTCCTACATCTGATTGGGCAAGCATCTGGAAGAAAGAGAGATCCTAGGACTGACTTGAGCATTTCAAACTTCAACACCCACTCTCAGTGACAAACTTCCTCCAACAAGGTCACACCTACTCTAACAAAGTCACACCTCTTAACCCTATCAAGTAGCACCACTCCCTAATGACCAAACATTCAAATCTATGAGCCTATGGGGGCACATTCCTATTCAAACCACACAACCATGATTCCTGGAACCAAGGGAGTCAATTGATAGCAGCATCCTCAGTCACCTGGGGGTGACATGTAACCCTCAAATGGTGTTCTTTAGGTGCTACCCAGCACAGGTGGGTGCTTCTCATCCAGCCCCCCTTCATTCTATTAACTCTCTCATCAGCCTCTTTCTCCATTATTCCTCCTTAGCCTACCACCTCTTCTTGAACAGGGATTGTTGTTCTTGTCAGTGTTGAGTCCCCAGCACCTCTCAACAGCCAGTGCATATTATATACTCTTTATACATCTGAATTCATATTCTAACAGAATAAAGGAAAAGTCTCAAGTTATGCTGTGAAA